TCAGAGAAGCCTCCCTGGAGGAGGAGGTGGAGGTGGAAGGACAACTGGAATTCAGAAAGACAGATGGCAGATGAGCAGTTATTCCAGGCAGGCCAAGGCATGAAGAGGGGCTCATACAAGGTATACACTTTGCCCAAGACTAAAGACTTCCAGAGACTCCAGGAGACTGTGCCCCACTCCTAAGCCTTTCTAGCTTACCCAGTGGCTGTCACTTATGTCTAATTACATCTCCATTACTGCTGTAAAATAATATCCCCCCTCGGTTTTTGGAAAGATGGCAAATGCCCCATTGTTTTCCCACGCCCACCACAGGGCCACGTAACGTCTTCTATTAGTGGGTTTGTCTATCTGGAAAGTCCCTTTTAATAATGGAAGGGTTATTTTTCAGTTTCCATGAAGAAGTAAGACTCATTTATGTCCATGATATGTTGCTAAGCAAAAAAAAAAAGCGAGACAAAACAGTATCTCTGGATTTCATTTTTGTTAAAAAGCATAGGGGAGAGAACGCCACAAATATGTTTGTGTGCATCTGGAAGGTTCCATGCTGGATTTCACAGCAGCTCTGGAAGATGAGGCATAGTGGGATGTGAGATTTTTACCTACACATAGTCTTATGCTTTTGTTTTTTTAAACAATGAACATGTATTAATTTTACAATTGAAAAATAAGATCAATCAGTAAAGTTATAGATAGCTTTTAATTTATTTGTGCTGCCGGGCTCGGTGGCTCAGCCTGTAATCCCGCGCCTTTGGGAGGTTGAGGTGAGTGGATTGCCTGAGCCTGCGGGTTCAAGACCCGCCCGGGCAACTTGGTGAGACCTTATCTCTACAATAAATCAAAAATGAGCCGGGAGTGGTAGCGCGCGCCTGTAGTTCCAGCTACGTGGAAGGCTGAGGCCGAAGGATCGCCGGAGCACAGCAAGTCGAGGCTGCGGCCACTGCACTCCAGTCTGGGTGACAGAGTGAGACTCCAACTCAAAAAAAAAAAATTTTATTTGTGCTTTCTTCTTTCCAAATTTTATTTTCTTTCTTTTCTTTTTCCTTTAATTTTTTTGGAGACAGGGTCTCACTCTGTCACCCAGGCTGGGGTACAGTGGCATGATCATAGCTCTCTGCAACCTCAGGCATGTGCCACCATGCCTGGCTAGGTTTTCAATTTTTTTGTAGAGAAGAGGTCTCATTATGTTGCCCAGGCTAATCTCGAACTCCTGGGCTCAAGCAATTCTCTCACCTTGGCCTCCCAAAGTGTTGGAATTACAGGTGTGAGTTCCCGGCCCCAATTTTTTTTCTCCCGAGACGTGTCTTGTTCTGTGGCCCAGGCAGATCTCAAACTCCTGACCTCAAATGATTCTCCCCACCTCAACCTCCTGAGACCTGAAATATTGTGTCTTTTACAAATTGAAGGTTTCTGTCAACTGTGAGTTCAACAAGCCTATCAACTGCATTTTTTCCAACAGTATGTGCTCACTTCCTGTCTCCTGTGCCACATTTTAGTAATTCTTGCAATATTTCAAACCTTTTCATTACTATTATTATTTATTTTTATTTATTCATTTTATTTTTTTGAGTTGGAGTCTCACTCCGTCGCCCAGGCTAGAGTGCAGTGGCATACTCACAGACACCCTAGCACCCACTTGCTGGGCTCCAGCAATTCCTCTGCCTCAGCCTTCCAAGTAGGTGGAACTACAGGTGCACACTACCATGCCTGGCTAATTTTTTATTTATTGTAGAGATGAGGTCTCACCAAGTTGCCCGGGCTGGTCTCGAACCCACGGACTCAGGCAATTTCCTTGGCCTCCCAAAGTGCTGGGATTACAGGCTGAGCCACTGAGCCCGGCCTTTTCATTATTATTATATCTGTCATGGTGATATGTGATCAGTGATCTTTGACGTTTACTAGTATAATTGCGCTGGAGGCCCCCAAATCACGACCACATAAGACAGTGAACATAATAGATGAATGCTGTGTGTTCTGACTGTTCCACAACCAGCTGTTCCCTGTCTCTCTTCCCTCATTAGGACTCCCTATTCCCTGAGACACAATATTGAAATCAGGTCAGTTAATAACCTACCTACGATGGCCTCTAAGTGTTTAAGTTAAAGGAAGCATTGCACATCTCTCACTTTATTTATTTTTATTTTTATTTTTGAATCAGAGTCTCACTTTGTCACCCAGGCTGGAGTGCAGTGGCATGCTCGCAGCCACTGCAGCCTCGACCTGTTGGGCTCTGGCGATCCTTTTGTCTCAGCCTTCCACGTAACTGGAACTATAGGCACGCACTATCACGCCCGGCTAATTTTTTTGAGTTATTGTGGAAATGAGGTCTCACCAAGTTGCCCAGGCGGGTCTCGAACCCGCGGGCTCAGGCAATTCACTCACCTTAGCCTCCTAAAGCACGGGATTACAGGCTGAGCCACTGAACCCAGCTGCCAATAAAAATATTAAGGATTAGATTTTAAAAATGTCAAATATGTAACTTTGAACATAAACTCACTTTCTTAAAGTTTGGCTTAAACTAGTTTAATGAGGAATTGTATTATTGATAGAGAGCCTCCAGTCTGGCCCAGACACAAGCACATGCCTATAGGGAGCTCTCGTGTAAGCAGCAGGCACTGAGGTCCAGAGGTGGTGCATGCTACCACGCCCAGCTAATTTTTTGATTTATTATAGGTCTCATCATGTTACCCAGGTTGGTCTTGAACCCGCAGACTCAGGCAGTCCTTTCACCTGGGCCTCCCAAAGTGCTGGGATTCTAGCCCAGTCCTCTACAGCTATTTCTAACAAGTAAACAAGACAGCTTTATAGACTCGTGGGACTGTATTTACAAACTAATGGTGGGTGAAGAAAAATAAAACTAAAACGCAATATTGCATTTACGGAGGGTATGACTTTTATATATCTGTTATGGTTAGATTATTATTATTATTATTTTGAGTTGGAGTCTCACTGTTGCCCAGGCTGGAGTGCAATGGCACACTCATGGCCACTGCAGCCTCAACCTGCTGGGCTCAGGTGATCCTTCCGCCTCAGCCTTCTGAGTAGCTGGAACTACAGGCACACGCCACCATGCCTGGATAATTTTTTGATTTATTGTAGAGACAAGGTCTCACCAAGTTGCCCAGACTGGTCTCAAACCCGTGGGCTCAGGCAATCCTCTCACTTCATCCTCCCCAAGTGCTAGGATTATAGGTGTGAGCCACTGCATCCGGCTATGGTTAGATCTGATGAGAGAGAAAGAGCAAAGATGAGAGAGAAGGAGAGAAATAGCAAAACAGGGAGGGAGTGAGCAGAAAAAATAAAATCCGTTACTGTGTTAAGTTTATGAAATTGTAGGGATTTTTTGAAATCTCTTTAAAAGATGTTGAAAACCCGGCCAGACACAGTGGCTCACGCTTGTAATCCCAGCATTTTGGGAGGCTGAGGTATGAGGATTGCTTGAGCCCAGGAGCTCGAGACCAGCCTGGATAACATAGTGAGATCTCATCTCTACAAAAAAATTAAAAAATTATCCAGCTGTGGTGGTGCGCACCTGTCCCAGTTACTCAGGAGGCTGAAGCAGAAGGGTCGCCTGAGCCCAGGAGGTCGAGGCTGCGTTGCACTATGATTGTGCCGTTGCAATCCAGACTGAGTGACAGAGTGAGACCTTGACTGAATGAATGACAAACTGAGTAAATAAATAAATAAATAAAAGCATAGGAGGAGAAATACTAAACTATGTTTGTTTGTTTGTTTGTTTTGAGTCAGAGTCTCACTCTGTTACCCAAGCTGGAGTGCAGTGGCATGCTAATGGTCACTACAGCCTTGACCTGCTGGGCTTCGGCAATCCTTCTGCCTCAGCCTTCCAAGTAGCTGGGACTACAGGTGAGCGCTACCACACCTGGCTAATTTTTATTTTCATTATAGAGATGAAGTCTCGCTAAGTTGCCTGGGCTGGTCTCAAACCCATGGACTCGGCAATCCACTCACCTCAGCCTCTCAAAGTGCTGCGATTATAGGCTGAGCCAGCAAGCTCGGCCGAAATTTTTTATTTTTTTTTGAGTTGGAGTCTCACTCTGTCACCCAGGCTGGAGTGCAGTGGCACGCTCACAGCCACCGCAGCCTCAGCCTGCTGGGCTCAGGTGATCCTTCTGCCTCAGCCTTCCAAGTAGCTGGAATTACAGGCACGTGCCACCTCGTGTGGCTAATTTTTAAATTTTTATTGTAGAGACCAGGTCTTGCCAAGTTGCCCAGGCTGGTCTTGAACCTTGGGCTCAAGTAATCTCTCATCTCTGCCTCCCAAAGTGCTGAGATTTCAGGCGTGAGCCACCGCGCTCAGCCTGTTCTCCTTCAAGTGCTCTTTGCTGTAGCCAGACTCATCGTTTCCTTTCATCATGGCTCTTCCCCCTTTCGCCACACTGTTCCCTCATCCTAGAATATCATCACTTTTTGTTCTCAGCCTCTTCAAACCTTCCTGCTTCCCTACACACCCTAGGCCTCCTGGTCCTCCAAGACCTGCATCCATACCACCTTCCCCCACAAAGGCACACCAGCGCCTGCCAGACGCCATCACTCCTGCCCGGTGCCCCAGGCCACCCGTCTGCTTTTCTCTGGGCCTCAGTGCCTGCTCCTTACACGAGAGCTCCCTATAGGTATGTGCTTGTGTCTGGGCCAGACTGGAGGCTCTCTGAGAAAGGTGCTGTTGCGCTGGCCTGTGTCTCCTCGGTGCTGGCCCTGCATGCAGTAGGGGTTCAATGCACTCTGGTTGCAGAGTAAGGGGTGCATGAGAGAATGAGAGATGTATAGAAGGCAGGGCGTGGGTGGATGGAAGGAGGGGAGGGCTGGAGGTAGATGACCCTGACCCCTCAAGCCCACAGCCGGCCTAGTCCTGGCCTTGCTGGCGACGACCCTGGGATCCCAGCCAGCCCCTCCCTGAGGGTGAACAACCTGGAGGCTGCCCTTGTGAGTCCTGCCCAGGTCGTAAAACGGCACGTGTTTCTCTTCAAAGGGCAGGAAGGAGAAGTGGGGAGATTTAGGGGCTGAGCCTCTCCAGCTGGGAGCCTTTAAAAGCTGGGATGCCAGACCCCTCAGCACTGACCGTCCTCCTCACCCTCCACTCTCGGGCCTCCACCCTCCCTACAACATGGCGTTCAGCGGCAAGTTCGAGATGGAGAGTGAGAAGAACTACGATGAGTTCATGAAGCACCTCGGTGAGTGAGCCCCTGAGTCTGCCTTCTCTGGGGCTGGCCTGTCACAGCCAGCTCTGGGCCAGGAACCCAAACTCCTAAGGTAGAGTGGGACAGGACTTCATTCATTCATTCACACATGCAAGGAGCAACTACTCTGTCCTAGGATCTGAGGACAACACAAACTATATGACACTCTTTGACTTGAAAACATAGAATATTAGTATCTCCACTTCGCTGATGGAACATTTGAGGCCCAGAGGAGCTGAGTAACTAGGCCAGGGTCACACAGCTAGTAATTGGTGGAGACTTGACGGGTAGAGATTTAATGTTTGTTCATTCAAACATTTATTGAACATCTGCTGTATGCAAGGGCTATTGCAGTGTCACCGGTGGGGCTTCAGTGTGACCTGCCTAAGTCAATGGCAGAGGCCATTAGCACTCTGGCCCTGCGATGACTGGTGTCACCACATCCTGCTAGGAGAGGTGACCAAAGGGTTAGGATAGAGACCAGGTTTGATAAGCCACTCCTTCACTTATTCATTCAACAAACACAGGCCCCTTACTGTGCTAGACGCTGTGGACAGAGAATGCGCAATTTCCTTCTTCTTACTGTTTGACTTAGAACACTAGTCTGTTATTGTAAGGAACCAACGGGATAGTGGATCTGACCAAGACAGTGCCATTATCATGATTCAAAGAACAGCCCCAGGGACCTGTGCCCTGCCTTTTGTGGTTACATCTTGCGGGCTGGCTGGGCCACGGCAGCCCTAAGAACAAAGCCCTGGTGCTCTGGAGCCTAGGGGAGGCCGGAGCCCTTGAGAATCAACTATCCAATGACCAACAGTGCCCTTGGAGGAACAGCGACTCAACTTCCCCTCCAACAGCCTCTTGTTGTGGAATGGGATGTGACTCACCTCGCTTCTAGACGCGATTCTGCCATTGCCCTCCCCGGAGATGCTGGGAAGCCCCTGTCGCACTTTGGTCTTTGCTTCCTTTCTTTTCTTTTTTTTCTTTTGAGTTGGAGTCTCACTCTGTTGCCTAGGCTGGGGTGCAGTGGCACACTCATGGCCACTGCAGTCTCAACCTGCTGGACTCAGGCAATCCTTCTGCCTCAGCCTTCCAAGTAGCTGGAATTATAGACGTGCGCCACCATGCCCGGCTAATTTTTTGATTTATTGTAGAGATGAGGTCTTGCCAAGTTGCCCAGGCTGGTCTTGAACCCCTGGACTTAGGCAATCCTCTTACCTCAGCCTCCCAAAGTGCTGGGATTATAGGCTTGAGTCACCGTGTCCAGCCTGTTTTCTCAGAAGCATCAGAAGACAGGATCTTTTTATATTCCTCTTTGTTTGAGTTGGAGTCTCATTCTGTCGCCCAGCCTGGAGCCTTGACCTGCTGGGCTCATGCTATCCTTCTGCCTCAACCTTCTGAGTAGCTGAGACTACAGGCATGTGCTACCACACCCAGCTAATTTTTTGATATATTGTAGAGATGAGGTCTCCCCATGTTGCTTGGTTCAAACTCCTGGTCTCAGGTAATCCTTTCACCTCTGCCTCCCAGAATACTGGGATTACAGGCATGAGCCACTGCACCCAGCTTGAAGATATGATCTTGACAGTTCCATTCATTCCAGAACTTTGTGAGCTTGGCAGGTTTTTGTATGGTTTCATTACTATCAGAGGATTCGCTAATTTTCTTTTATGATTTAAAAAAATTAGTTTTTATTTTATTTTATTTTATTTTATTTATTTTTTGAGTTGGAGTCTCACTCTGTCGCCCAGGCTGGAGTGCAGTGGCTGCTCCCGGCCACCGCAGCCTCGACCTGCTGGGCTCCGGCGATCCTTCCGCCTCAGCCTTCCAAGTAGCTGGAACTACAGGCGCACGCTACCACACTTGGCTAGTTTTTATTTATTATAGAGATGAGGTCTCGCCAAGTTGCCCAGGCGGGTCCCTTGAACCTGTGGGCTCAGGCAATCCACTCACCTCGGCCTCCCAAAGTGCTGGGATTACAGGCTGAGCCACCGAGCCCGGCCTAAAAAAATTAGTTTTT